ATGGTTTAACGAATCTTTATTGTGCACCTACATGCGCCAGACAGACCAGCTCCCTGATTTCCTAATGTTGACAGTCTAGTGGGGGAAGTTAGATAGTAAACATAACACATAAGTAAATATTATAGTCAGTTGGGAGGTAATGATCGCATGTGAAAATACTGGGCAGGATAAGCTCAGGGCAGTGGTTGGCAACCTGCAGCCTGCAGGTCAAGTCCAGGCCATCATTTGTTTCTGTACAGTTCCAAGCAAGAATGGTTTTTATATTTTTTTAATGTTTGGGAAATCAAGAGAAAAAGATTTCATGACACAAAAAATTTACATGAAATTCACATGTCTATAAATAAAGTGTCCATAAATAAAGTTTTTTTGGAAAACTGCCAAGCTTATTGGGAACTTCTTTTTACATGTCTGGAACCCTGGGCTGGGGATCTGGTGTGGAACTGGGACCCCTTGTTCCTCATGGGTGGCCTCCACAGAAATAATCTCCCTCCCGATTGAAAAAATGGCACATGTGGGTGTTGGTCCAGCCCATTCCAAACTTCTGCCCCTCCTACCAGTCTCAGTGTGCTTTTTTCTTTACTTCTCTAGTTGTAGGACTTCCACTCAGCCAGCTTTCAGGCCGTTCTGAATGATGGTTATTCTGTATTTTAGTTGTAATTTTGATGTGATTGTGGGAGGCGCGAGTACAGGTGTTTACCTGTACCACCATCTTGGTTCTTTCGCCACATCATTGATTTTTCTATCTCTCTCTCCCTCTCCCTTCCTCTCTGAAATCAACAAAAATATATTTTTTAATTAAAAAAATTTTTTTAGTCCTCACCCGAGGATAATTTTCCATTGATTTTTAGAAAGAGTGGAAGAAAGAGGGAAAGTCAGAGAGAAATATCATGAGAGAAAAACACATTGATTGGTTGCCTCCTGCATGAGTCTGGACCAGGACATGCCTTTGACCGGAATTGAACCCAGGACCCTTTAGTCTGTAGGCCAATGCTCTATCCACTAAGCCAAATCAGTTGTCTCCTGTATGAGCCTGGACCAAGGCTTGGGCTGGGGAGAAGCCTGCAACTAAGGTACATGCCCTTGACCAGAATTGAACCCAGGACCCTTCGGTCTACAGGCCGACGCTCTATCCACTGAGCCAAACCAGCTAGGGCAAAAAATATAATTTAAAAAATGCCATTAAGAGAGTGAAGAGGCAAGCCATAGAGTAGATGTGTATAGTATGTACAACTAATAAATGGCTGGTATCCAGAATATATCAAGAACAAGTCCATTTTTTAAAAAATGGACAACCCAATAGAAAATTGGGCAAGACACTTGAACAAGAGCATCTTGAAAAGGATGTCCAAAAGGCCACGAAAAGTGTTCAATGAAAAGTGTTCAATCCTATTACTCATCAGGAAAATGCAAATTAAAACTACAATGAGCTACATCCAACAAAATGTTTAAAATTAAAACGTCTAGCATGGCCAAGTGTTGGCAAGGATGTGGAGCAATGGAAATGCCCTGGAGGGAGAAGAAATTATTACAACTGCTTTGGAAAGCTTTTGGTCCTATTGACTAAACACACACACACACCCACCCCCCCCCACACACACATACACACACACATACACACACACATACACACATACACACACACACATACACACACACATACACACACACACATACACACACACACATACACACACACATACACATACACACACACACATACACACACATACACACACATACACACACATACACACACATACACACACATACACACATACACACACATACACACACACACACACACACACACACACATACTCTATGACCCAGCCAGTCTTGCTTTCATACCCAAGAGAAATGTGTATATATATATTCACATTATGTTATGAACATTCTAGAACAAAATATGTACTAGAATGTTAAGAGCAAAAAGCCAACAAAGGGAAACAATTCAAACTCCCGTCAACCGTTTCTGGCAGATGACAGAAATTGCAGTGTACTCCACAGTAGACTACTACTCAGCAAAGAGAAGGACTGAATTGCATTTCCATACTCAGCCCAGATGAATTTCACAATCATAACGTTGAGTGCAAAAAGCCAAGCACAAGAGTCCATACTGTATAATTCTGTTTACATCATGTGGAAAGTAAGGAAAGGAAGCCTCTGTATTCAGGAAGGCACACTTTTACCTACGTCAGTAAAATGGGCACCTTCATAGGGAGAGAGAAAGTAGTGCCTGGCAGGAGGCAGAAGGGGGCTCGTGGAAAGCTGGTAGAATTTGCTTCTTCATCTGGGTGGTGGTGACACAAATGTGTTCCCTTTGTCAAAATTCATTAAGTGGAACATTTATGTTTCAGGTACATTTCTGTATGTGTGTCATATGTCACAATAAAAAAGATTCGAATAATGTAAAAATAACTTACTGGCCAGTTTGACTCAGTGGATAGAGCATCAGCCTGCGGACTGAAGGGTCTGGGTTTGATTCCAGTCAAGGGCACATGCCTGGGTTGTGGGCTTGATCCCCAGTGGGACCCAACTGGGGCGTGCAGGAGGCAGCCAATCAGTGATTCTCTCTCATCATTGATCGATCTCTCTCTCGATCTCTCTCTCTCTCTCTTTCTCTCTGAAGTCAAAAAATATATATACTAAAAATACTTTTAAAATGACTTTGAAAAGTAGGTTCACCATAGCTTTATCTTACAAACTGGGCAAACTAATGTCTTAGGTACAATAAATAATTGGAAGGAATGTGTGTGGTATTTGCTCTGTTTAGCACTGTTCTAAGAGATTCATAGCTCCTACCTTATTTAATCCTCACAACAACCCTTTGAGGTAGTTACTATTGTTATGTGCATTTAACAAATGGGGACACTGAGGCATAGTAAGGTATGCTCAAGCTAGGTCTAAACACAGGCCATCTAGTCCTACAGTATATGCTCTGCTCACCAGAGTCTTCACCCTAGAGTGAAATAAGAGCCCTGCTGGCATAGCTCAGTGGTTGAGTATTGACCTATGAATCAGGAGGTCACGGTACGATTCCTGGTCAGGGCATATGCCTGGGTTGTGGGCTTGATCCCCAGTGTGGGGCCTGAAGGAGGCAGCCAATCCTTGTTTCTCTTTCATCATTGATGTTTCTATCTATCCCTCTTTGAAATCAATAAAAATATGTTTTTTTAAAAAGAGTGAAATAAGAAATAGGAAAGTGGAAGTATATTTCTCAAAACACAAAGGTATCTAAAAAGAGAAACTAGAAATCATTGGATGGTTGTCCTGAGAGTAGGGGAGGGGCTATAAGTGAGCTATGAAGCCTCGCCCACCATGATTCCAGTGGGGCCTTTTAACTTAAATGGTGCATGGAATTCAGGGATTGTGTGAACTTGGATGGGAAAAACAATGACCTCTTTGCTTTTACTACATTTTAACTTGGCAGTCTTCAAAATGCAGTTTGGAAACCCTGTTAGTCCCCAAGACCCTTTTCAGGGGGTTAATGAAATCAAACTATTTCATAATAAGAACTGCTGATGTAATTGCAATTTAGCATGCCTTTCTGCCATGTGGTGGGGAGGTGTGGGGGCAGGGGAAAGGGATTGGGGTGTGTGTGAACAGACCACAGGATTATTAGCAATCTCTAGCTTTGTCATGAGAAGAAAACACATGTTTTCAAATCCCATACAGTCACTGCAGGACTCGCAAACATCTTCTACACACTCATCAAAACTTCTAAATGACCATAGTTTTGGGACCTGCCACTAGGACCTGAAGTTTAATACATGAAAAAAGAAGCATATTCTATGCTGCTGCACACCTGAAACTAATACAAAATAGTAATAAATGAAAACAGTAATTTGAAAGTAAAATAAAAAGGAAGCACATAATTCAACTATCGTTAAACGAGGAATAAACTCAAATATAAAAACTCAAAAAAAGAATCACATACACTACTGTATCCCATATTTGTTTAAAAAATACTTGTACATCTATAAAAACTGTTTGTACATTTGTACTTTTGCTGCTGCTCCAGGAACCCTCAAGCACTCTTTGTGGCGAGCCACCCACAGCCTTCCAACAGCGCACAAAGGTTTACAAATTCTCACTTGCTTCCTCCTAGACCCCAGGGCATTTCTGGAGTTCATGCATTAGTATAGAAATAACAGCTGATTCTTATCCAGCCCTCACTCTGGGCCAGGCTGCAGTCTCAGCATGAAGTTTCATGTGTCAACTGGTTTAATCCCCACAACAGCCCATTAGGGTACGTACCATTATCACCTTCATTTTACAGGTAAAGAACCCGAGACCCGCGCGACCAGCATGGCTCAGTGGTTTGATTCAGGCTCAGGGCTCATGCCCGGGTTGCTGGCTGGATCCCCAGTGTGGGGCGTGCAGGACGCAGCCCATCAAGGATTCTCTCTCATCATCGATGTTTCTAGCTCCCTCTCCCTCTCTCTCCGAAATCAATAAAAATCAATATATTTAAAAAACAAAAAAAGAATCCGAGACGCATCGAAGCCGAGTAACCGGCCCAGGGCACACAGCTCAGAAGCAGCACAGTCCCGCCTGTGTTTTCTGCGGCCAAGGGGTGGGGGTGGGGATGGTCTGGGGGAGAATCGGTGGGCTTAGCTTGTGGGGGGAGGCAAGTGGGAGGAACTGGGAGGAAGATGAAGCCTGCGAACGGGAGGGGGATCCCACGGGTCCACGGGTCGCAGGCGCTGGTGCCAGCACACCTGGGCACCGAGGGATCCGTCAGGGGCAGGGGTGGGGGTCGAGGTCCGTACCCTGGGGGCTCCGCAGCTGCGGGGTGGGGCGCCTGGGGGACAAGCGCAGCCTTACCCGTCTGGGCGCTCAGCTGGTGGCCCGCTTGAAGGTGGCGGCGGCGGCGGCGTACCAAACCTTTCTGGGTCCCCCTTCTCACGCCCCGCCCTGGGGGAGGGGGACGGGTGGGCGTGGGACGCCCAGGACCGGCCGGACCTGTGGGACCCGGGGCCCTAGTTGTCTGCGGAGCCTGTCACTCGGAGAAGACAGGCTCTTCCGGGGCTGGGACGGCTGTGGGCGGCGGGATGCCTCCGCGCCTGCAAACTCATAAATACCGCAGCCGCACTGGTGGCCGGAGACGCGCGTGCAAGCAGTTGGCGCCCTCGAGGGTGAGCCGGGACCTGGAGGGCGCCCCCGCCCCAGCTCCCTGCTCTGGCAGGTCCTGGGGAGCTGGGACCTAACTGGAGCCGGCAGGGAAGGGCTGCGGAGAAGGGGGGTGGGTATAAGGTGGAGATGGGGTGGGTGAGGACTGGGGTCACAAAGGCAGGATGGGGTGCTGGTAGGGGGATGGCAGAGGGGACGGGGCCGCTCCAGGTAGGATGGACTTCTGAGGGATCTGGGGGTGGAATGGAGCATTCAGGTCACTAAGACCAAAACAGAAGGCTGGAGGATGGAGTAAAGTGATGAGGTCCCTGAGGGCAGGGTGGAATGCTAGGGATGTAGGGAATCAGGTAGAAGAAACTGGGGTTACTAAAAGCGGAATGGAATGCTGGGGGGTGGGGTTACCAAAGGGAACTTCCTACTTGAGCCCCCTCTCACTCCCAAGCCTCTTGTGCCGAGAGTGAGCTGTGGTTAAGAGCCAGGGCTCATGGGTTCCAATCTGGGCTCCATCACATCCGAGCTGTGCAGCTGAATCACTGGGTTGCTCATTTTCCTAATCTGTGATATGGGCTGTTGATCACAGTGGCCACCACACGGAGGAATGCTGCGAGGCTCCCATGAGTTAATCTATGCAAAGTGCGAGGCACCCAGGAGGCTCAGATTGCGTTGGCTGCTTGGTAGTGATCATCTTTTTGTTTGCTCTCCAGCATCTGGATAACCATCCCTGGAAGACCTCCCTTCCATCCTGCCTCACTCCCAGTGACATTGCCTGATCCCGCTCCATTCTTCATCCTCCCAGTCCCTCCTGCTCTCCCTGACGGAATCTAACCTTCTGCGGCCCCCATCCCTTTCCCCTCTCTGCCCCCTCCACCACCACTATGGGCCCCTTTCTTCCCTGCTGGTCCTGCTGCTGTCTGCTCCTGTTTTTCTCCCTGGGAGTCCAGGGGGCCCCAAAGGATCCCAATGCTGCCCCGGAGCAAGTCCACCTGTCGTACCCAGGTAAGAGTCTGTGACCCCTCCCAGGACAGTTCCCAGTGAGGCCCATTGGGTTGGGGGCTCAGGAATCACACACTGATGGCTGGGAGGCCCTAGGCTGGTGGCTGGCCCTTCCTGAGCCTCAGTTGTCTGCCACTGTTAAGTGGGAATCGCCAGCAGGGTTGGTTCGTCTGGCTGTGTGGGAGATGATTCTGGTGCCCAGCCTATCGTAAGTGCCCTCCAAAGGGGGCTGCTATTGCTCTTGTTCGTTGTGTAACCGCTCATTGTGTCCCCACAAGGCTGTCTCCTGATCCTTGATCACGAGGTGGTGGTGCACTGGGTAGTAAGGTCTTGGGCCATGGACCCTTTGCATACAGACTCCTGGGTTTGAATCCCAACTTTGCTACCTACCTGCTGTGTGACCCTGGGCAAGTGACTTCACTTCTCTGGACAACAGAATAACAGTAGTGTGATCTCATAGTGAGGAATAAATGAGATATTACCTGTGAAGTGGCAAAAAGAAAAACAAACAAATACAAAGCTTGGTGCGTAGCAGAGGTTCTCATAGGTTTTTGTCTCAGGACCCCTTAGCACAGCTACAATTCTTGAGAACCTCAAAGAGCTTTAGTTTATGAGTTATAGCCATAGCATTTGCCATATTAGAAACCAAAACCATTTAGAAATATTTATTGTCATTTAAATGAATAGTAATAAACCCATTCTGCATTAAGGTAAATGACATTTTTCATGAATAATAACTATATTTTACAAAGAAAAGAAATCTAGTGAAAAGAGTGCCATTGAGTTACATTTGTTTAAGTCACTTTAATGTCTGGAGACAGCTTGATCCTCCTCACATCTGCTTCTGCTTCAGTCTGTTTCGATAATATGCTGCTTTGGAAGATATATATGAAGAAAATTTGGTCTCATGCAGACATGTGGTTGAAACAGGGAAGAGGATTTTAAAAGGAGTTTCAAATAATTGTGGCTATTCTTTTTTTTTGCACCAAAACTCAACCCACTCTCCTGTGTTCCTTCCTTCCCTCTTTTCCTCCCTCCCTTGCTAATTATTTTGAAATAATTCTAGACTTACAGAAGAGTCACAAAGATAGTGCACTTCCGGTACATCTTTCACCCAGCTTCCGTTAATGTTGATTTCTTATGTGTCCATGGTACCATTGTCAAGCTAAGGGCTTAACATTGGTATCACATTACTAACTAAACCATGGATTTTTTTTTCATATTTCACCATCTTTTCCACTAATGTCTTTATTCTAATCCAGGGTCCATTGTAGGATCGCATGTTGCATCTAGCTGCCATGTCTCTTGTCCCCTCCTATCTGGGACACTTTCTCAAATGTTCCTTGTTTTCTGTGTCCTTGACACTTTTAAGGAAGATAGTTTCTTAAAGATTAGTTGCAATGTGGAATCTGAAACTGCATGAATGAACTAGCTTTGGCATTTGTTGACCCAGTGACCTTGGGCAAGGCACTGTGCCCGGAGACCTCTGAGACAAAAGGAACAACAATAAAATCCATCTCAGGGAGCTGCTAGGAAAATCCAGAGATCACAGCTGTCCTTTGACCCACAAAAGGATAGTAGGAAATATACTCTGACTAAGTGCTTCAGAAGGATCACTCAACTGACCTCATTCTGGGCCTTAAGCTCTTGGTACTATTGTTATTCCCATTATACAGAAGAGTAAACAGGCTCGTGGAGATGAAGAGTCTGACCCTAGGTCACACATTCTAGAATTTGAACCTAAGCAACTCAAGAGCCATGGTATTTGTTTTAAGACATTATATTTTGTACTAATTTTAGACTTAACAGAAAATTTGCAAAAATATTATAGAGTTTCTATATCCTTCCACCCAGTCTCTCCTAATGTTAACATCTTACCTAACCATGGCACTATTTTTTAAAAAAATATTTTTATTGATTTCAGAGATGAAGGGAGAGAGAGAAAGAGATAGAAACATCAATGATGAGAGAAAATCATTGATCGGCTGCCTCCTGCATGCCCCATACTGGGGATCCAGCCCACAACCCGGGCATGTGTCCTGACTGGGAATTGAACTGTGACTTCCTGGTTCATAGGTCAACGCTCAATCACTGAGACATGCTGCCAGGCTGGCACTATTATTAATACCAGTCACATTGGTACAATGCTATTAACTAAACTACAGATTTTGTTCGGACTTCACCAGTTTTTCCACCGATTTAGTTATTTAACATTTAGTTGTTGTGTCTACTTAGTATCCTCCAATCTCCAGTTTCTCAGTCTTTCCTTACCTTCCATTATTTTGACATTTTTGAGTATTGAGCAGGTATTTTATAGGACATCCCTCACTTTGTGTTTGTCTGATATTTTCTCATGATTGGAGCTAAGTTATGTGTTTTTCTGGCAAATGACAAAGATGTGATGCTGTGTCCTTCCTAATGCATGATGCCGACATGGCTTATTGCTATTACTGGTGATGCTGACTGTCATTGCTTAGTTCTTGGGTTTCTCCATTGTACAGTTTTTATTCTTTACTTTGTTGTTAATAAATATCTTGGGGAAGATTCCTTGAGACTACAAAAATCATATTTCTTTTTAAACTTGTCCACTAATATTAGCATCCATTGGTGAATCTTGTCCGCAGCAATTATTAGCATGATGTTCACCTAATTGTGATTTTGTAATCTTCTAATTCTCTCTTTTCATCTAATTGAAATTTTATTCTAAAGAAAGGCTGTCCTTCCCTCCTCCATTAATTTATTTATTCAATTATTTCTTTATATCAGTATAGACTCATGGATACTTATTTTATTCCATGGCTTAAAATTCTGTACTATCATTATTTATTTTGTGGCTCAAATTGTCCCTGATTTGGTCTTTTGCAATTCCTTCAGAATGGCTTCTGTGTCCTTTTATTTTTATTTTTTATTTTTGTTAATCCTCACTCACAGCTATTTTTTCCATTGAATTTTAGAGAGGGTGGAAGGGAGGGTGGGGAAAAGAGGGTGGAAGGGAGGGTGGTGAAGAGAGAGATAAACATTGGTGTGAGAGAGACACATCGATTGGTTGCTTCCTGAACGTGCCCCGACTGGGCTAGGGATTGAACCTGCAACCCAGGTATGTACCCTTGATCGGGAATCGAACCTGTGATCCTTTGGTGCTCGGACCAATGCTCTGACACTGAGCAATGCTGGCCAGGGCAGCTTTTGTATTCTGTTCACAAAGCCCCTTTATTTTTGAGCACTTCCTCACTGTCTGGCACCTCAAATTATTCCAGGCTCATCCTGCACATTTCCTGCCCATCTCTGTAATCACCAACTTCTCCAAAGAGCCCTGATTCCTTCCATTGGAGAATGGGTAATTAGAAATCAAGTTCTTAACACTAGGTGTGCTCATTGCCACTGAGGTGTGATTGTTTCTAGGTCCTCACAAATGAACTAGGCCATACGTGTGGGTATGTTTATTAGCACGTGCCACGTCTACACTTCTGTATCTATCTGTGTATATATATATTTTTTAATATATTTTTTATTGATTAAGATATTACATATGTGTCCTTATCCCCACGTTACCCCCTACCCCCCCCCCCCCCCCGCTCATGCCCTTAGGCCCCCCCCCATTGTCCATGTCCATTGGTTAGGCCTATATGCTTGCATATAAGTCCTTTGGTTGATCTTCCCCCTTATCCCCACCCTCCCCTACCTTCCCTCCAAGGCCCGACAGTCCAATCAATGCCTCTCCGTCTCTGGATCAGTCCTTGTTCATCAGTTTATGTTGTTCATTATATTCCACAAATGAGTGAGATCATGTGGTATTTATCCGCTCTCCAGTTCCATCCATGCTGTGGCAAATGGTAAGAGTTCCTTTTTCTTCTTCCTCTTCTTAAAGAATACCTTTCAGCATTTCATATAATGCTGGTTTGGTGGTGATGAACTCCTTTAGTTTTTTCTTATCTGTGAAGCTCTTTATCTGACGTTCTATTCTGAATGATAGGTTTGCTGGATAAAGTAATCTTGGTTGTAGGTTCTTGCTATTCATCACTTTGAATATGTCTTGCCACTCTCTTCTGGCCTGCATGGTTTCTGTTGAGAAATCAGCTGACAGTCGTATGGGTATTCCCTTGTAGGTAACTGACCTTTTTTCTCTTGGTGCTTTTAAGATTCTCTCTTTGTCCTTTGCTCTTGGCATTTTAATTATGATGTGTCTTGGTGTGGTCCTCTTTGGGTTCCTTTTGTTGGGGATTCTCTGTGCTTCCTGGACTTGTAAGTCTATTTCTTTCACCAGGTAGGGGAAGTTTTCTGCCATTATTTCTTCAAATAGGTTTTCAATATCTTGCCTTCTCTCTTCTTCTGGTACCCCTATAATTTGGATGTTGGTACTTTTGAAGTTGTCCCAGAGCCTCCTTACACTATCTTCATACTTTTGGAATCTTTTTTCTTTTTCGGTTGGGTATTTTTTGTTTCTTTGTATTTCAAATCTTTGACTTGATTCTTGGGATCCTCTTGTCTGCTGTTGGATCTCTGTATATTATTCTTTATTTCAGTCAGTGTATGCTTAATTTCTAGTTGGTCTTTTTTCATATCCTCCAGGGTCTCACTAAATTTATCGGCCGTTTCCATAAAATTCTTGAAAAACCTTATGACCATGGTTTTGAACTCTATATCCAGTCGTTTGCTTTCCTCCATTTCTGTCATTTGTGACCTGTTTCTTTGTCTCAGCATTTTTTATGCTTCCCTGTGTTGGTAGAGTGGTTTTGTGTGCTAGGTGTCCTGTAGGGCCAAGTGGCTCAGCCTCCCCAGTTACCTGAGGTGGACACTCTTGGTGCACCCCCTTGTGGGCTTTGTGCACAGTCTTGTTGTAGTTATGCCTTGATTGTTGTAGGATCACTGGGAGGAATTGACCTCCAGGCCAATTGGCAGTGAGAATCAGCTATGTCTGCAGTGGGAGAACTTCTGTGCTGAAGACACCCTTCTGGGGCAAGACTTGCTTCAGTGGGGCTTTGGTGCTCACTGAGTCTGCCCCCTGAGTGTGTCCCTTATGGGTCTGAGGAGTTGTAATCCGGATGGTCCCCCTCTGACCACTGGGTACACTGGCTCTTGGATCTAAGGAGGTGCTAATTTACCCTCTGCCTGAGGTTACCCAGCAGGAGCTACAAAGAGAACTGCATATTCCCCTTCCTTTTTTGGAGTTTGGAGGTGCCCAGATGAGGCCCAGCTGTGAAGCAATGCAAGCTGCTGTGGGGCCTTGGGCCTTCTCTTGGAAGTTCTGGGTCTGTCTGGCCCAGCTGCAATTTGTTAGGTAATTTTCAGGTTGCAAAGGGCCAGGGCATTCATATGCAAAAGCCTCTGCCACAGCCTGGGTCGGGCGGGGTCTCAGGGAATCAAAGGGCGGAGCAAGCAGCTATGGCTGGTCTTCAGCCCTGCCCTAAGGGGCACGTCTCATTGTGTCCCGATAATTGCTGCAAGCACCTCTGAGGGAAAGCCGCCCTCGAGTTCCGAGTTCTGCCTGCTGCCAGACAGTCCAGTTTCTCCCTGTATGAGTCCTGGGTCCCCAGAGACTTCCCGGAACCGGAGTTCAGAGCAGTCGGGAGCTTGTGACTCCCTCCCGATTCAAAAAGACAGCCGCGTCCTCAGGTGCCAGCCCCTTTCCGCAAGCGCGTGAGCCTCCGTACCTCTGCACTTTACTTCTGCAGCTCCTCTGGCTCTCAGTGTGCTTTTCTCTTTCCTTCTAGTTGTAGAATTTCCACTCAGCCAGCCTTCCTGTAGTTCTGGATGATGTCCATTTTGTCTTTTCATTGTATTTTTGAAGTTGTTGTGGGAGGCAGCAATTTCCTGGTGTTTACCTATGCTTCCATCTTCCTGATCTGCTTATCTGTATATATATTAAATGCCATGGGATCATACTGATACCTCTGATTTCAGTCCAACATCAAAGCTTTATTTTTCCTTCTTTCTTTGTTTGTAACTTCTTTCTCCAACATTGAGAACCATAGCTCCCACTATCTACATACACTTACTTGCTCAGTGCTACTCTATAATAATAAAAGGCTAATATGCAAATGGTCATCACACCCTCACGCCATAACGACTGATCAGCAGGAGGCTGCATCCCTGCCCAGCGCCCACTGGGGACGTGATGCACCTGCAGGGCTTGAAGGGAGTGGGGCTGGCTAGGTCTGGGTCTCGCCCAATGGGGGTGAGGCCAGCCAGACCTGGGTCTCGCTCGATTTCAAGGCACACACGGGTGGGCAGAGACTTGACTTTGGGTCCTGTGGTGTGCCCCAGACTCTGACAGGAGGGAGGAGGGAGCCAGATACCCACACCCAGGACCCACACAGCAGGGCAGCAGCAGTTAGGGGTGATCAGGCCAGCAGATAGGTGAGCAGTTAGGAGCCAGGGGTCCCAGATTGTGAGAGGGATGTCTGACTGCCGGTTTAGGCCCAATTGGACATCCCCTGAGGGGTCCTGGATTGGAGAGGGTGCAGGCTGGGCTAAGGGACCGACCCCCACCTTTTATGCACTGGGCCTCTAGTATAGACATAAAGTCAATTCAGAATTGTTTGCCAGTATCCCTGTGAGAACACTTATTGAATGATGGCACTTATATGCAGTCCTTTTTCTCTGTTATCTTACAGTGCCCAGTCAAGACCTATTTTCCACAGTTACTTTTCTTCCCCAACCCTTCAGCGTGGTTACTTTATTCATTTTTAAATATAGTTACGTCCATTTGTTAGTGTTTATATTCCATACTAGCTTCTCCCTACATCCTGGGTAATTTTGTTAGTTTACTTTTAGGGTGTATGAAGGAGATATGAAACATGACTATAGCTTTTAGAATTCAGAATTTTTATGCAAAAAAGCTAGACTCAGAGCGGCATCCTCCCTCCTCATTCCTACTTCCCCATTTCTCCTTTCCCCTACCCCTTACTTTCCCAACCACCCCAGGTAAGTAATCCATCTCTTTAGTTTCTAGTATATCCTCCCTGTATTTTCTTTGTACAAATGAGCATATCTTTGTGTATTGTCTTATATCCTCGTCCAGGAAGAGTAGCTAACTATACTCATGTATACTTTGCTTTTTAAATTTATCTGTATGTCCCAGACGTCATTCCATGTCCTACAGCTCCCAGAGCTTGTCCTCTTTCTTTTTGACACTGCATAGTGCTCCACTGTACACATGTTGTAGGGTTTATTCAGTCACCCTCCTACATACGGGCCTTTCAGTTGTTTCTGGTATATGGTGATTGCACACAGTGTGGCAACCAGTAACCTTGTGCGTGTGCATTTTCATGGTGCGGGTGAAGTTATTATCATTGCTGTTGTGACATGAGGGAACCGGGAACCAGATGGGAGGTGAATACGCAACATTACACTATACCTCATGATATTTTTAAAACCTTGATTTGGTTGTTAATGTTTAAGAATTCGGAACAATCACTTAAAAGTCTGGATTTGTGTATCTATCTATATATACTCGGGACATAAAAACCACAATTTAAAATTTACTCTAGAAACTGACAGATTTGGTGGCACTGGGCCTGCTTCTTGCATGGCAGGTGTCCCCAGAGCTGAGCGATGGCTGCTCCTTTTAGACCAGGCAGAGTCTGCAGTTTGCCACCACCCGCCCCCACAGCTCCATACTGTCTTGCTCCTTATAGCTGGCCCTTTTCCCCATTTATATTACCTAGCTGGCCTCTAGACATCTGAGTTTATAACCCCTAAATGATATTATGTATGTAAAATAATACATAAGGCCTGCACATAGTAAATAATAATATTAATAATAATAATATCCATTCACTCATATAACCCTAACCATGCCAGGCACTGTTTCAAATACTTTACTTATATTTATTAATCTATGCCTCATAACAACCCTGTAGAATAGGTACTTTATTATTCCATTTGACAGATAAGGAAACTGAGGCACAGCGAGGCAGTGACTTGCCCAAGGAAAGCACAGCTTGGAAATGGCAGAGCTGGGATTGAACTTGGGAAGCTCCACAACCTCTGTCCTAACTACGGAGTCTTCAGGAGCTGTTAATCATTGCCCTCACTCTCTCTGCACATCTCTACCTGCCCTGCCAGGCCTCACTGCCCAGCCCCTCTCTATTCCTTTCTGCCCAGGTGAGCCGGGCTCCATGACTGTAACCTGGACCACATGGGTCCCAACCCAGTCTGAAGTACAGTTCGGGCTGCAGTTATCAGGGCCCCTGCCCCTCCGGGCCCAGGGCACCGTCAGCCCCTTTGTGGATGGGGGTTATCTCCGGCGGAAGCTCTACATACACCGCGTCACGCTGCAGGGGCTGCTGCCGGGGGTCCAGTATGGTGAGAGGGGTCCCGGCCCGGGTGTTGAGGAGGGAATGGGAAGAGGAGTGGGATATGGATTGGAAGCTGCCACTGGCAGGTGGCTCAGGCTGGGCTGGTAACTCCTCTGCGTGTCTGAGACACTGGGATAAAAATGAAAGGTGTTGGGGACCTGGGGTGAGATGGACAGAAGAGGCATGGGTCAGACTCATCCAACCCCCCCTGCCTCCTTCCTCTACCAACTGAAGATGGGTGGGGGTGGAGGAGACACCCGGAGGCCCCCCGCTGACTGTGACCTTCCCCTTCCCCCCAGTTTACCGCTGTGGCAGTACTCAGGGCTGGAGCCGGCGGTTCCGCTTCAGGGCCCTAAAGAATGGGTCCCACTGGAGCCCCCTTCTGGCTGTATTTGGGGACCTGGGGGCTGACAACCCGAGGGCCCTACCCCGGCTGCGCAGGGACACTCAGCAGGGCATGTACGATGCTGTTCTCCATGTGGGTGAGGCATTGGCAAGGGTGTGCCTGGAGGTATGGGGCGGGGGTGGGGTGGTGGGAGTGGGAAACTGGGATGGGAGGCAACACCAGGACTGTAGAGGGGGCTGGGGCAAGGGCCAGTGTGGTCTGAGGGGACGGGATGAGGCTGGCCATGGAGATGGTGTCTGTTATGCCGGACCCCCGGTTAAAATCCAGCTCCCACCTTAGAGCTACTGCATGGTTTTCTCCTGTGTTATTATTACTGGACTAAGACGTGTTCAGAATTCAGGGGACTGTTGTGACGACTAAATAAGCTGGCATTGCCCGGCACGTCAGTGTTAGTTATTATCATTGTGCTGTGACTTGAGGGACAGAGCCAGATGGGAGGTGAAGCCTGGGCTGGTGTGGTTCGAGGCCACAGACTCGAAGTGGACCCCTCGGTGCGATTCCCGGATCGTCACTAACTGGCTCTGTGACCTTGGGCGAGTGCTTAACCTCTCAGGCCTCAGTTTCTCCACCTGAAATGGGATGATAGCACCCACCTCAGAGAGTGTTTTGAAGATTCTAATGATCAAGCATGTACAGGCTTTGGGACTGTGCCTGGTGTAAACCCAGTACCAGACTATGTCAGTCTCAGGGAGGGCACAGGAGGCCGGCAGAGACGGGGCCGCTATGATCAGAGCACAGGAGACTAGTTTGGTCCTGTGGGGTCTCAGGGGCCAGAGGTTCAGGAAACACTTCAAGTGCACACATGGGTGGGTGGGAGGCAGGGGTCAGAGAATGGGATGGCTCAGAGGCCAGAGGATGCCCAGCCCACACCTGAGCAACCAGTCTCTCCGTCTGGAGAAAGTAGAGCTAGTTCTGGGTCCTCACACTCCCCTCGCCCGCTGCCCGCCTCCCCAGGAGACTTTGCCTACAACATGGATCAGGACAACGCTCGTGTCGGCGACGAGTTCATGCGTCTCATCGAGCCTGTGGCTGCCAGCCTCCCGTACATGACATGCCCTGGGAATCATGAGGAACGCTAGTAAGGGCCAGGGGCCTCGGGGTGGGCATGGGCCTGGCCGATGAGAACAGATAGGTCCTCTTTAGTGTTTCACCTTAGTCCCTCATACTGCAGCAGCTCCTTTGTGGTAGTGAGAGGAGAGGAGGGATGGCCTGGGAGCCAGACTTGACCTCAGGGACCTCAGGGTCCTCAGGAGGTGGGTGGATGGGGCACCCAGACCCTCCCCCCATCCTTTTACTTCCTTTTATCCAGCAACTTCTCTAACTACAAGGCTCGCTTCAGCATGCCCGGAAACAATGAGGGCCTGTGGTACAGGTAACCTGGGGGATTGGGCGGGGGGGGGGGGGGGGGGGCACTGGCGGACTGACCTTGCTGCCCTGAAGGATGGGAGATGTAGCACAGACCCTATCTCTGATCCCTGCCTTTTGACCCCTCAGCTGGGATCTGGGCCCTGCGCACATCATCTCCTTCTCCACCGAAGTATATTTCTACCTCCACTACGGCCGCCACCTGGTAGAGAGACAGTTTCACTGGCTGGAGAGAGACCTCCAGGTAACTGGGTGGAGGTCCCTGTCACCTCTTGGACCTACCTCCCCACCCCTCCTACTGCCACCTCTCACGCTGGCCCTTCTCTCTAGAAAGCCAATAAGGACCGGGCAGCCCGGCCGTGGATCATCACCATGGGTCACCGGCCCATGTACTGTTCCAATGCGGACGTGGATGACTGTACGTGGCATGAAAGCAAGGTGAGGACCCCTCCCTGGGCAGGGTGCTGAGAGCCAGGAGGGGGTCTGCCCGGATCATCCCTCACTCTTTGCTCCTCCTGCCCAGGTTCGAAAAGGCCTCTTCGGCAAGTTATTTGGATTAGAGGATCTTTTCTACAAATACGGTAAGTGACTCGGGGACCGGGAAGTGCTCCCTGGCCCCGGTCCCACCCTCAACCTGGACGCAGGGGCCTGACCCCCACTTGCTCTGTCTCAGGGGTCGACCTGCAGCTGTGGGCTCATGAGCACTCGTACGAACGACTGTGGCCAATTTACAACTACCAGGTGAGGTTCAGGGAGGGCTGAGGGCTGCTGTCAATGGACCCTCCTGAGACCCTCTGGTCTGGTCTGGAATGACTCACCCCTCTTCCTTGTCCCCTTCTCCAGGTATTTAACGGCAGTCGAGAGATGCCCTACACCAACCCTCGAGGCCCTGTCCACATCATCACAGGATCTGCTGTGAGCAGGGCGGCAAAGGGTGCCTCTGGCTTCTCTCCTGTTGCTATTTATGGGGGGTTGAACTTGTACCAGCTGGGGTGCTGCATGCTTCATACAGTCACTATCACTAGCTCAACCTAGCAACATGCCCACTGTACAGATGTGAAAACAGAGGCTCAGACAGTCAAATACTCATTGACAGTCACAAGTTCAATAGGTGACAGGGGTTGGGCACTTGCCCAGGTCGACTGGATGGATCCACAGGCAGAGGGCTTATTATTATTATTACTAGAGGGCTGGTGCATGGATTCATGCACATTGAAAGGAAATTAATTAGAAGAAATATTTTAGAGGCCAGGGAGGGACCACAGGAGACTGGCCGGCCGGGAGGGACGGAAGGAGGGCTCCAGGGTGTGTCTGGCCCTTCTCGCCCAGTCCTGATTGGCCGGACCCCAGCAGCAAGCTAACCTACCAGTTGGAGTGTCTGCCCCCTGGTGGTCAGTGCACGTCATAGCAACTGGTCGAACGGTTGAACAAATGGTTGGACACTTAGCATATCAGGCTTTTATTATATAGGATTGTAATTGAACTCCAGACTTCATTCACATTCCACCCCTTTGTCACTAATGGCCTATTTCTGTTCTAGAATCCCACATTGTATGTAGTTATTGTGTCTTCTTAGTCTCCTCCAATCTGTCACATCCCTCAGTCTTTCCTTTTCTTTCATCATTCACATATTTGCAGACCCTCGTGTTTTGCAGAATGCCCTCATTTTGGGTTTATGTAACATTTTTCTCATGCTGAGATTCAGGTATGCATTTTGGGCAAGACGATCACAGAGGTGCTGTCATGTCCTCTCAGCGCATCAGACCAGGGAATATGGGATGTCAGTGTGTCTCTACCCTGGAGGGGTTTCTCTGAATCACCAGCTTAAGGAAGTAGCTGCTGGGTTCCCCACCACAGAGTTATTATATCTCCCTTTTAAATTAATAAACATCTTGGGGGAGATCCTTTTAGACCATGCAAATGTCGTGTTTCTCCTCAAACTTTCATGTATACATGTGTATATATATGCACAAATTTTTGACTGTCAGTGGGTCTTGCCTGCAACAATTAACACTGTGGTGTGCTCCTGGGATCTTCCAGTTCCCTCCTTCCTCCTAGACTTATTATAATCCTCTTGTGAGGAAACGCTGTCCCCCTGCCTTTCTTATTTGGTTAGTTAGCTATTGATTTATACCGAAGTGGACTCATGGGTAATTATTTTATTCTGCGCGCTATGATCCAATGCTGTTGACTCTTTGCTGCTCAGGTTGCTCCAGCTCTGGCCACTGGGAACTCTTCAGGTCGGTCAGTCCCCTGTCCTTTCGACGGGCGCACTTCCTTGCTCTTCGGCACTATAAGGTGCTCAGGATCATCTTGGGGTTCCCCTGCCCCCACCTTGGAATCAGTCACTTCTGCAAGGAGAGAGGCTCATTTTATTTATTTTATTTTATTATTATTTTTTTCATGGTGAAAATGAGATTTTTAACAACACTCCTGAGAGCGGGTGCCCATTGTACAGGAACACCGAGAGGCTCATTTTAAAAGCTGATTCTTACAAATTAGTACGAGCCTCTGGTGATTAAAATTCAAACAGTACAGAGGTCAGGAGGTGAACACCAACCATCTACACCCCTTCTTACTCCCACTCTCAGCTGTTCCCTCTCTTGCTAGCATTTAGAATGTTCTCTGCATGTACAAGTTGTCTACATAGAAATGTGTTACTACATCACCCACTTTTTAAAATATATATATTTCTTTTTGATTTCAGAGAGGAAGGGAGAGGGAGAGAGAGAGACAGAAACATCAATGATGAGAGAGAATCATTGATCGGCTGCCTCCTGAACGCCCCCTACTGGGGATCGAGCTCACAACCCGGGCATGTGCCCTTGGCCAGAATTGAACCTGGGACCCTCCAGTCCGCAGGCCAACGCTCTATCCACCGAGCCAAACTGGCTAGGGCTCTATCACCCACTTTTTAAAAACAACTTGGATCACGCTTCATACCTTTGCAGTTCTCAACCTTGGTGCCCGTTAGAATACCTGAGAGGTTTTAAAACTCCGATGACTGGGCCCTACCCCAAACCAAACACTAGAACCTTCTAAGGATGGGCCCTGGTGATGCACACCTGAGTAGTCACTCCAGGAGCAGGAAACAGAACACAATCATCACCAGAGGCTCCTCAGGCCCATAGGTGATCGCTATTCTGATCTTTATTAGCACAGATTAGTTTTTCTCTAAATTAGAATTTTGAAATGATTCCACATGTATAGGAAAGTTGCAAAAAATAATACCAAGACTTTCCATATCCCCTTGACCAAGATTTCCCAATGTGAACATTTAACCATACTTGTTTTAATCTCTCTCTATGTATACATGTGTATATATGCACATATATACATTTTATTACTATTTTCAGATCCAGTGAAGAATACGTTTCAGAAATTATGCCCCTGTCCCTCTCTGTCTGTCTTTCCTAAAAAACAAGGACATTATCTTATCTCTTATCATTACAGTGTGATAATCAAATTCAAGTAGTTAACCTTGATAAAATGCTATTACTACCTGATCCACAGAGCTTATTCAGATTTAGCCATTCGTCCCATTCCTGTCCTTTAAATCAAAGCAAAGAATTTTTCTGGCCCAGGATCTAGTCTAAAATCACATGTTCTATTTTGGTGTCTTGTCTCTTTAGCTTCCTTTCATCGGAAACATTTCCCTACTCTGTCTTCATTTTTCATGACCTTGAAAAATTTGAAGAGTATAGCAAAATCATTTTGTAGAACATACCTCGATCTGGGTTTGTTTGATGTTTGCTCAGGTAGGTGGAAGTTAATCCCTTTTTGATAAGAATACACAAAATTGATACCGCGTTCTCAGGACATCCTCCTAGGAGGCAAGTGGTATCTCTTTAACCCCTTTAAGCCTCAGTTTCCCATCTTGTAGATGTGGTAGGGAACCGTCTCATTACTGATGGTGTTCACGCTGATCACTCCGTTAAGGTGGTGTCTGCTGGCCTCTCCACCATAGTCCTCTCCCCCCTCTTTTTAATTCACAAGTGTCTCCTGGAGAGATACTTTGAGGCTATGCAAATATCATGTTAAACCTCAAACTTTCACCACTAGTTTTACCATCTAGTGATAATTCTTGCCTCAGTCAGTTATTATAATGACGGCTGCAAATGGTAATTTTTTTGAGCTCCCTCACTCACCTGGCATATTCTCCTGTAAGAACAAGCACTCCCTTTTTGGTAATTTTAAAAAGATATCTTGGAGTGTCTACTGTTCAGCGAGGGTTGAGACCCTCCAATTTCTTCTGCTTTGCAATTGCATTTTCCCTTTAATGATACATCCTGGCCCCTTTCTATATCACCCTGCTTTGTAATGGTTGTGCTATAATTTACTTAACTGACCCCACTGATGGGCACTTGGGTGGCTTCCAGCTCGGGGCTTTTACAGAAAACGCTGCAGTGGACAGTGTCATACGGCCATGCGCTTTCCAGAAGACCCGGCCAGGATGCCTGGCTGGGTCAAACACGCACTTGTGAGCATTATTGACGTCAAGTTTTAACTGACTTTTTCTCCCTTGGGGGCAGCAGGGTCCTGGCCTGGCAGGCTGTTTCTGCGCCTCTGCGGGTCCCCGCCTGCCCGGCCACCCCGGTCTGAACAATTGTCCCTTGCAGGGCTGTGAGGAGCGGCTGACCCGCTTCACCCTCTTCCCGCGGCCTTGGAGCGCCGTGCGGGTGAAGGAGTACGGGTACACGCGGCTACACATCCTCAACGGGACCCACGTCCACATCCAGCAGGTGTCCGATGACCAGGTCAGTGAGGGGTGCCCGGGTCACCATCCTGAGTCGCCAGGCGCAGCTGAGAACTCTAGAGCTAGGAATCTTGGGTTCAGATCTTGCCTCTGCTACCTACCAGCTAGATGACCTCAAGGGACTTAACTTTGAGCCACAGTTTTCACATCTGCCAAATGGAGATGTTTAATAGTTTCTACCTCACAGGATGATATGGGGTTAAGTGACTTATTATGTATAAAGTACTTAAAACAACTTTTAAAACATGGTAAATTCTATAGCTACTCGTCAACATGAAGCAGAGGAAAGAAAAAGATAGGTGCTGGGCGGTGGGTAAGGGAAGCCAATACCATGTGCGTGTGGTCCAGGTGGCTTCAGGTTAGATGGACCCAAATGATCATGCCCACGTTTCTTTATTTTTGTTACTATAATTTTAAAATAATGATAATCACTATGATTTGTTGAGCACCTATTATGTACCAGGTGCTGGGCTAGACACTGTATATTTAGTAGCACTTTAGCCACAACAATCCCATGGGGAGGATTTTCTTTCCATTTTACAGATGAGAGAACTGAGGTCAGAGAAAGAAGGAATTTTCACCCAGCTGGAGGGTGACAGAACTGGCATCTGACCCCAAAGTCCATGCTCTTTTTATTACACGTAACTACCATTTACTGAGTGGCACATATGCCAGGGCAGGCTGTTGTGCGTATTACTTTTTTCTGTCCTCCCTAGTTTATGGAACGTGGAAGCTTGGCTCAGAGTCAGGTCACGTGCACAAGGCCACACAGAGTGGCTGCGCTGGGATTAAAGCGAGGTTTGTCTGACTCCAGGCTTGTGCTCTGACAGCAATAGCCTGCATTACACAGCCCTTTCCAAATCTCATCTCATTCCCACCACGTCTACAAGGTAGATGCTCTTACTATCATCTTGCAGATAAGGAAAATGGAGGCTCAGAAAGATCTAGCAAATTGCCCAAGGGCACACAGCACATCGGAGGCAAAGCTGGCACGTGAACCCAGGCTACCTGGCTCCAGAGTCTAGGCCAGTGATGGCGAACCTATGACACGCGAACTCATTTTTTTGGTTGATTTTTCTTTGTTAAATGGCATTTAAATATATAAAATAAATATCAAAAATATAAGTCTTTGTTTTACTATGGTTGTAAATATCAAAAAATTTCTATATGTGACACGGCCCAGAGTTAAGTTAGGGTTTTTCAAAATGCTGACACGCCGAGCTCAAAAGGTTCGCCATCGCTGCTCTAGGCCTTCAGTCCTTATGTCATCTTTTTTGTTACTTGCAGGATGGAAAGATTGTGGACGATGTATGGGTGGTGAGACCCCTGCTCCACCGGATGATGTACCTCTAGGAACGGGGCGACTCTGAGCCTTGCGGCCTATGTAACCGGACACCACCCATGCCCGGCTGGGGAGCCAGGGCAGGCCTTGACTCCTCCGCCTTCCTGAGGGCCCATGTGGATGAATGCGGCCCTGAGGGGGCTGGGCAGCTCCCCCTCCTGGAGAGGTGGGGGTCCCCAGCGGCTGTGTTCGAAGGGCAGTTGCGGACACAGACAGACACAGACGCACAGGTGGGTGGCACAGCCCTGCCCCCTGCTGCATAGCACCGACTGGGCGGTGCCCGCAGGGCCTCGGGAATAAAGAGGCTCATGGCTGTGGCTCCTTGGACTCTGCACTTTTGCTGGGGATGCCGCTAGGGCACGCCTCTCCTGCCTGTGCGGGAGAGGGGGTGGGGGTGAGAGGCGTGGCCAGCCCCAAGTCTGAAAAGTGGGCACGCCATCAGGCACCACTCTCCAGCAGGTGGCAATGGTGACTTGCCCCCCCCCCCACCCAGGCCTGCCCTCAGAGCACCCATAGCCAGAAAATGCTAATGACTGTCTTTTTGTGTCACAGTTCCCCAGCCTGGCAATGGCTTATCCTGGAAGTGGAGAAGGGTTACCACTCCTGCCTTCCAGCTGGGGTGGCTGACGAGCCTTAGGTGCTCATTGACCTGCTGTTTCCCTCCCCTTTCCTCCTTCCCCTGTTTCCCTTCTTCCTTTCTTTTATTCGACCATTATTTATTGAGCACCTACCATGTGCCAGGCCCTGTTCTCAGTCCTGGGGAGACAGCCATGAACAGGACAGAGGTCTCTGCCCTAGTGACATTCTACCCGGTGAAAGATGGCAAACCTAATAAATAAGTAAAATATATAATGGTGTCACTATTTAGTGATAAGTGCTCAGAAAAAGCAGGGAAGAGGGATGGAGACTAGGGGAGGGAGTATGAGGCAGGGGCCACATGGGCAGTGTTCCAGGCAGAGAAGCAGCTGGTGCAAAGGCCCTGTGCCACAAACGTGCCTGCCCTGTCAGAGGATCAGCGGGGAAGCCAGTGTGTCTGGAGCAGAGAGAACGAGGGGGAGGTGGGGGTAGTGAGTGAGGGGGCAGACTTGCGGGCCCTTGTGGGACACATCCTGAGTGAGAGGGCGTCACGGCAGGGCTCTGAGCCGGTTGATGAACATGCTCTGGCTCTGCTCTCCCGAAGGTGTCCGTGACTTCCACTTCTGCAGGCCAGCCTCACATCTGTCCTTCCGTTGCGCCGACTCTGTCAGCCTCCTCACATCTTATTCCCCCCCCCCCCCCCCCCCATCCAGCCCAAAACACACTGGCTCCTGGCAGTTTCTTTTTTAAAAAACTTTTATTTGTATTGTTGACACTATTGCAGATGTCCCCATCCCCCCCACACACTTTGCCCACCTCCACCCAGCCCCAGCCCCCTTTCCTCTAGCCATGACCTCACTGCTGCCTGTGTCTGTGGGTTATGATTATGTTCTTTAGCTAATCCCTTCACCTTTTTTCACCCAGTCTCCCCCACCGCCACCCCACCCCTCACCCCTGCCCTCTGACAGCTGTCAGCCTGTTCCATGAATCCATGCCTCTGTTTCTGCTTCGTCCGTCAGTTTATCTTGAACACACCAAGCTGCTTCTGCCGTGGGGCCTGTGCACTGGACCTTTGCTCTCTGAGTGCCCTCTCCCCAGCTCATCCCAGGCTGGCACCGTCTGAGGCCTCAGATCACAGCCTTCCCTGACAACCCAGTTAACATAACCACACCCAGTCTCTGTCCCACCCTGTGTACGTCAATTCTAGCTCTTGGCTTTCTACAGTTCTTTTACTGATTTGTTAACCATTCATTGTCAATCTGCCCTGCTGGGCTGGGGGTCTGTGAGGGTGGAGACCCAGACCATCTTGTTCATTCCTGGGTCTTTCACCTCCCTCAACCTCTCCCAGGCCCTTCTCAGGCTGGGTTAGGACCCTGGACACCCCCACTTCAACCCCGCCCTTTCTGGGTCAGCACTGTCTGGGGGTGGGTCTGTCTCCACCACTGGACTGTCAACCCAGGAGGGTGGTGTCCAGGGCTCGAACCAGCCCAGCCCAGCACAAGATAGATGCTTAATAAATATTTGTTGCCTTAATGAAGGCTGCCACATGCCAGATGCCGGGCAATGTCGGGGCAGACAGCAATGAATCAGAGGTGGTCAGGCCTGGCATGTTCTGTGTGTACTGAGGCTGTGAGCGTGCCCGGGCGATGGGGTCCACAGAGAGCAAAGGCCTGGCACGGGAGCCAGACAGAAACCCGGTTAAATCTCAGCTCTGCCACTTCCAGTGGGATGTGGAGTCCCTAGCCCTCTCTGAGCCTCCGTTTCTTCATCTGTAACAAAAGAATGATCACACCTTGTGGGGTTGCCTTGGGATTAAATGAGTTGAAAGCTTTGGTGTTGTTGTCCTTGACTCCTCTTTTTTTCATGCCCATAATCAATTACCTAATAAATTCTGTTAGTTTGTCTTTAAATTTATCTAGAATGTGTCTCCTCCCATTTGTAAGGCCACACCCTGGCCTAGTCCTATCCACCTTATCTCTTATCTTGGTCTTGCTGCTCCTGTTCCTGCCACCACCCTCTGCTTCTCAAACACAGCAAAGGGACCTGGGGACTCCACATCAGCCATGTCTCTCCCTTGCCTGAGCCCTCTTGTGGCTCCATCGCACTTGGGGCAAAAGCCAGTGTCCTCCCTGTGGACCGTCCCACATGAACTGACCACAATACCTCCCTGCCCTTATCTCCCACTAGTTGTCCTTGCCCACCCTGCTTCAAATCTATCAGGTTACCCTCCTCGGTTTTCACTGGCTGTTCCCTGGGCCTGGGACTCTGCCCCCAGTACTCACATGGCTCCCTCTCACTCCTTCAGGCCTCTGATCAAATCTCACCTTTTCAGTGACCCTTCTCTGACCACCTGTTTGAAAGAATATTTCATCCCCCACCTCCCAGCCCCTTTCCCTGCTTTATTTTCCTTTGGCCATTTCGACTTTGTGACCTACCATGTAGATACATGTTTAGTTATGTATTCTTTATTTCCTCCATCCGAATGTGAGTCAGGGTGCAGGGGTTTCTGCAGCCCCAGTACCCAATACATATTAGTTGCACATTGTAATTACTTGGATAGAAGTTGGTGGAATGAGTGAAGGAAGTAGAAATAAAGGTAAAATGCTTAACACAGACCTGGCACTGAGGGAGCAGGTAGCAAATAATAGGGATGATGGTGATTTAGGTGAATCAGATTAAAGCCCAACCCTTAGGGCACCTGCTGCTAGGCGCACAGGAGACAGACATGTACAGCTGGTTGCAACACCTGTGATATGTGACATGCACAGGAAGTGACAGGTGGCAGGGCCAGAGACTCTGAGGCTTCTGGGAGACAGAGCTGAGCAAGGCTTTTGGAGGCTGCACAGAGGCCTGCCTAAGCAGGACGGGGCGAATGCTCCCAGAAGCAGCAGCAGGGCCCAGGGGAGAGCTTGTGGGGTGGCTGGGGGTCTGTGAGAGATAAGGAGTGGAAAGCTGTGGGTTTTGGGATTCATTCATTAACAACTTTTATTTACTAAAGTCCTTCATTGCTCACATCAGTCAGAAATGGTTCTGCTGATTGTAGCCAAGAACCGTGAAAGATCTGTGCCTATGATGCAAGTGCTGGAAATGCTGTGGTGGCCCAGATGACATTTTCCTCCTGTGAAACTTAAATTCTACCCGGGGAGGTAAAGAAGCCCTGAAAACATACTGTCACATGGTAATTCCAGTGTGGGATAGTAACATTGCTCTAGATATGGTATTCAGAGAGAAGGTGACATTTGAGCCAAAAGACAGGGAGTTGGTCAAAGGAAAGACCTGGAAGAGTGACCCAAGCAGAGGGGCCAGCAGGTGTAAGGCCCTGAGTCAGGACTGAGTGTGTGTGTGTTTAAGAATCAACCATGAGGCCAGGGTGGCTGCTGTGGAGTGAGCAGGATTGCCAGGTACAATATGGATGCCCAGTTAAATTTGAATTTCAGATAAACAATAAATACATTTTTAGTATAAGTATGTTCCAAATATTGCATAGGATATATTTATCCTAAAAAAATGACTTGGGGTTTCTTGAAATTCCATTTTAATTGGGATCCTATATTTTTATTGGCTAAGTTTTTATTGCAGTCCTAAGTGTGAGCACGAAAGAAAGTTGAGGAGCTGAGGACAGAGGACATAGAGAGGGCAAAAGTTCTCCTCTGGGTCCTACATGCACGCCTGAAGAGACAGGGGACTCTCTGAGGTCTGTAGGGGTCCCTAATCCCCGGGCAGTGGCTGCACCTCCCAACCCCCTCCTCCCTTCAAAGACCTCCTCCAAGATCTTTGCTGCTTAATTTCAGCAAATTTAAAAGATGATAATATCCTTATTTTTCTTCAGGAGAGAAAATAACACAGTCAAATTCAAACCTTGCAAAAATCTATACATATAAAAGGCTAAGTGACCATGTGACTGGCCGGTAGGTATGATGCGCACTGACCACCAGGGGGCAGACACTCAATGCAGGAGCTGCTGAGCTGCGGTGACTAGGCAGCAGTGGTTCTGGGGTGATGCACCCAGAACCAGAGAGGAGGGAATCTGATTCCAGGGTGTGTCACTCAAGAACCACCATCTCCCAATCTGGGACCCCTCAGGGGATGTCAGAGAGCCGGTTTCAGACCTATCCATGCAGGTCAGTCCAAGGAACTCCACCTGCTGGAGAGACCATTCTGCAGACACCCTTTGAGCCACAGTGCTGCCCCAGGAGCAGCTGGCTGGGGAGTGGGGAGGGACCACAGGAGGTTGGCTCCAAGGTGTGTCTGCACCCGCCCCCCCATCTCACCCAGTCCTGCCCTGCCGGCCCCTTCTAATTAATTTCCTTTCAATGTGCATGAATCCGTGCACCAGGGCACTAGTAAATAAATAAAATAGAGCCAGAAAATTTCTGGCTGTCCTATTCCTAACAGCTTCTAACTTTAAACATTTTAATTTTTTTCATTATAACCCTAGATTTAAAAGAAAAAATGTAAAGCCCAGCAGGCGTGGCTCTGTGGTTGAGTGTTGACCTGTGAACCAGGAGGTCATGTTCAATTCCTGGTCAGGGCACATGCCCAGGTTGTGGGCTCAATTCCCAGTGTGGGGCGTGCAGGAGGCAGCCAACCAATGATTCTCATCACTGATGTTTCTCCCTTTCCCTCTCCCTTTCCCTTCCTCTCTGAAATCAATAAAAATATATTTTTTAAATGTAGATACTATTGAACTCGCTTTGGCAGCACAAGTGCGAAAAGTCTAGTGATACAGAGATTACCATGGCCCTGTGTGAGGATGGCATGCAAAGTCGTGAAGCGTTCCATATGTCTCATTTGGCAATACAGCATAAACAAATATTGATTGTGTTGTACACCTGAAACTAACATAATATTATATGTCAAATATGTCTGAATTTTTAAAAAGAAAGAAAATACTAATATATGATATGGGTGAGTTTGTACCCTGCTTTTCTTTCCCACATAAGTTAAATTGGGCAGAATATCATCTCCATTCTGTTGTTGATTTTTTTCATTTTAAAAAGTAAACTTTATTTTTGAAACAGTTTTAGATTTACAGAAAAATTTCAAAGATAGAATAGAGTTCCCATAAACCCCATACCCAGTTTCCCCTGTTATTAAAATCTTCTCCTTAGTGGAATACATTTGTTACAATTAAGGAACCACTGTTGACACATTATTATTAACTGATGTCTATACTTTATTCTACTGCATTTTAGTTTAAATATAACTTCACTGAGATGTAATTTAGAAAAAAAAGAGATGTAATTTATTACAATTAACTTCACCCTTTGAAAGTGTACAGTTTGAGTTTTGACATGTGCATTCCCATGTAACCACAATCAAGAATCAGAATATTTCCATCACCCCGCTTTCCCTTCTGTCCCTTTGCCATTAATCCTTTCCTCTGTCCCACAGCCTCGGGCAATAACCAATCTGCTCTCTGTCACTACAGAACTACCTTTTCCAGAATGCTAGCAATGGAATCAGGTAGTATGTAACCCTTCGAGATTAGCTGCTTTCACCTAGCCTAACACATTTGTAATTCACCCACGGTGTCCTGCTTACCAATAGTTCCTTTTTATTACTGAGTAGTGTCCCATGGAATGGATCTACTGCAATGTATTTATCTGTTAACCATTTCAGGGACATTTGGGGTTGTTTCCAGTTTGGGGCAATTATGAAAACAACTGCTTTGAACATTCCTGTACTAGTCATGGATATCCAGGGGTGGGCAAAAGTGGGTTTATAGTTGTTTGAATGGAAAAAGACATGCAGATTTTGATTATTACAATAGCTTTATTAACTCAAAAGACTATTACAATGGCACAGTCTCACTTAGGTACAATCTCATAAGTGCTCAAATTGCCGGTTTTCTTTATTTTTATGCTCTTGTACTCTACTTCCTAAACTCCCTGTTTTGCGTACTCACAACTGTATACCTCCGTTTGCCCACCCCTGTATATGTTTTCATTTCTCCTGAGTAAATACTTAGGAATGGGCTCATTGGGGCCTGTATCTTCAGCATTCTGTGGCTGCATAGATGTATTTCATGACATGTTTTGAGTTCTGCTATCACCTTATCTTGTTATATTATTTATTTGTTCATGTGTTTATTATCTATCTCTTGAGCATTTGTTCTCTGAAAAAGAAGAGAAATAAGAGCCTAAAGCCTGGAGTAGGCTGCTGAGTGACTTTAGAGAAGTTATTTAACCTCTCCATGCTTCAGTTTGCACATTTGTTGAATGGCATGCATAGGGCTGTTGCAGAGATTAAATGAAATAGTAAAGGGCCTGCTATACAGAAAATGCTCAATAAATGTTTGTAGTCATCATTAGTCAAGATGGCTTGGCATATAGATGGCATTCAATGAATATATTGAATGAACGTTAGCCATTCTAAGAGCATCAGCTTTGAAGTCAGACTTCCTGGTTAAAATTCCAGCAAAGCTGCTTAGAGGTGGTGGGACTTTGCTCCCCTTCCTACCTTACTCCCATGCCTGTTTCCTGGCCTGTTAAATGGGGCTCAGGATCCCATCTTCTAGATAAGTGAGGAGACAGGTAAAATCATGTAGTGTTTAGAGAGGTTGGCCAGCTGGGGGAGATTAGCTGTGGGAGCACACTGACCACCAGGGGGCAGCTCCTGGTTGAGCATCTGCCCCCCTGGTGGTCAGTGCACATCATAGCGACCAGTCGTTCTGGTCGTTTGGTTGTAATGGTCGCTTAGGCTTTTATATATATACTAGAGGCCTGGTGCACGAAATTCATGCTTGAGTGTGAGTGTGTGTGTGTGTGTGTGTGTGTGTGTGTGTCGCCACAGCAACCCAGCACTGACTTCCGGTTGGTCGAGCCTTAGATCGTTTTGCATGTTATGGACCCTG